CAGGCCTGATGACCTGCTTCTGAAAGCTCAGACTCAGGTCAGACATCTCAGGGGTGTTCCCAGTTAGGACCCTCTTTGGGAGTCAGGGGAGAGCCATGAAGTTGGCGAGGTGACAGTAAGTAATATACAGGCAGAATGAGGTTCCCATCTGACCGTCCCCCTCACATAGGAGGGTGTGGGTCAGAGTCAGCACTGGTCTGGTGCCTCATTTTCATCTAGTCTGTTTTCTTTCTCTAGCTCAGCATGGTCACCTAATTCTTGGTTTGTGCGTTGTTTATATTTTCCAATACAAACATGTTCATATTATCAAGGAGTTTGTTAAGCAGTCTGTGTTAGTCTGAGCCCTGAAGATGCAAACAACAGGAAAGTGTTCAGGTTGCATGGGTTTTATGTGGGAGAGAAAATTCAGAGAAGGCCAGGAAGGCTGGGGAGCTGGAAGGTAGTGTGTCAATCTGGTCACTAGAAGGACTGAATGAAGGGGTGCTTTGAGTTTCCTAAACTGCTGTGCAGTCAAAAATGGGTCCAGGAAGTCCTTAAAGGTTTTCAATGTAAAGGTGCCCTTCAGAGGAACCTGTGTCCGTCCACAGTGGGCCCGATTTAATATTGCTGCTGCTCTAAAACTTGGTGTGGATAGCCCTCTAGCCTTGGGATTTCAGCACACACAAGGTGAATGTTTTCAGAGCTGGACCCTTCTTCCCTTACACTCCCTGTGGTTGGAGGAATGAGAGGAATATTCTCAGGGGTTACACACTCTTTGTGTTGCTTTATAAAGAAACATGATCTTATTTGATTCTCTTGGGTGATTTTGGGATTTGTTTGCTTTTTGGTTTATATTTTTTGGTGTATTTCCTCAGCATTGTGACATTCTCACTTGTAATAACTTCAAAACTTATTTCTGACCAATGTCCTGTTCCTCAAAGGAATCACAGCTTCATGCAAGGAGTGTAACAAGTCCCTTTTTCAAGTCTTGAAGGTCATAGCTTGTCTAACGATTACTGATCAGACATGAGGTTAGAATCCCAGTTCATCCTTCATCAGGTGTGGATGTCACCACGTTGTTCAGATTGGTCATCTCTGAGGCAGCCTGCAAGGATTTTCACAAAAGAGAACAAGGATGACATAAGGACCCCGTTCATCAGATAAGCAATCCTTTGGTCAATGACCTTCAGCAGTGCTGATTTATTACGTTTTTTTTGTTCCATTAGTAATCATCTTTCTTAAACTATTGTTAAGTTAGACTAATTAGTAACCTCAATTCTCAGTGCCTTTGTCCTTTGGTAACCCCAAAGCAGGGGGTGACCGACTTTCAGGCCTTCACAATTTCATCTCAAGTTCCAGGGAAGGGGTTGAAGGAGGTGTCATAAAACCTGGTCTTTGGTCTTCCTGCAGGGTTCACTGAGTCACAAATCCAATCCACTACTTCAGGAGACTGTGTCACACCCAACTGGTGTCACAGAAGGAAGAGGGGAAAGCCACAAGCAAAACCATTTCACACTGGGCCAGAGGCACTGATAGGGGAGGGCAGGGAGGCTGCAGACATAGCCCCTCTGCAGGGAGAGGACAGGCGGGCAGGGGGAGCTCAGTACCCATCAGCTAAGGGGACCAGTCCCAGATCAAAGGCAGAGGAGGACTGAGGAAGGGCTCCTTCTAAGCGTCTTGGTCTCCCTTTAAAAGGTTATCTAAATTGCAATGTGGGAAGGACTGTTGATATGTTTATAAATATTCTATTTGATCGAGAGCGTTCACCTAACACAGTAAGTTAACGAGCACCACATGTGGAAATGTCCTTTATTAGTACGTTTAGATATCTGGAGCAGGCCTAGTGATGCAGTAGGTACGTGCTCCCTGCTCCCTGAAAGATCAGTGGTTCCACCCACCAGATGCTCCGCGGCAGAAAGGTGTGACAGTCTGCTTCCCTACAAACTACAGCCTCGGAAACCCTGTAGGGCAGTGCGGCTGGGTAACTCCCTCAGAACTGATTGGACAGCAACATGGACAGCCTAATAGTGAGGAGCAGAAAGATGGGGTCATTGATTAAGTGGATCCAAAATTGTGGAAGACACAGTGATCCCAGGAATAATACATTCAGATGTCAAGCCCAGGTGATGTTGCCAGGCTGGGCGTGTGAGAGGAAGGGGGTGCGGCAGAGTTGGTGGCAGGTGCATGGATCTAAGCTGATCAGAAATCAACTAGTAAAGATGTGTAACAATGGTTCTGAACCAAAACGAAATTAATATTGTGCAAAACTCTATTTTGTGGTGTTGGGAATGAGACGCAAAGCTCTTACAAACACAAACTATTGGAAAACATTTTGAAAACAATGTGATTTAAACAAGGCCTCCTACAATTCCTATTATCAGCAAGATCAGAAACAGCCCTTGATCAGTCATCAGAGGGTTGGCCCAAGAACAAATACCCTTTTTCTTGGACAGCCCAGCAGCTCAGGACACCCAGACAGGGGCTTGGAGAATATGTCTCAGGATGGTGATCGGAATTCACAGCAGCCCATGGATCCTGCGGGACACCCCTGTGCATTGACAACAGTCCTCTTCTCAGAGTTACCCAGAGGCTATGCCTGAGGGGACCACAATGAAGTGACAGTCAGTGTGAGCATGTGCAAGTGGGTAACTGTATGTTAATGTAAGTGTGTGAATGTGTCTGAAAGTGAATGTGGGTGTGAGTGTGAGTAGATTGCGTGGCACATCTCCTTACCCCATTCTCATTTTGTCTGCAGACATTCCCTGTGACAACCAGGTGGCATAGTTGAAAACCAGTGACATAGATCCACCTTCTCCAGAAAATGGCTGGAGGCTCAGAGTCCTTATTGAAAAATGAAGGGGCATGAACTTTGCAGGCTGTTCTGGTTCCCTAGCACCGCTCTGACAGGAATATACCACAAATGTGATGGCCTGAACCAACAGGAGTTTATTCTTACAATTTGGAAGCTTTAGCGTACAGCCTAAACACTTGACTGCTCACCAGAAGGTGGGTGGTTCA